CAAGAATGGCCCCGATGTCCTGCATGCAAATCGAGTCAGACTGTATTGCACGACTGACAGATGATCGACTGAATTCAGTGATGGATTGGCATCCCAGGTGCTGAAGACTCTCAGGTGGAAGATTTTAACAGATCAGACGGGACAATCAACTAGGAGAGGAATGTGGAAGCTAGTATTGACGAATCGTGTCAGACAGGCGTTGACATCGAGATTAGGCATTGGTGATTCCCATTAATTACGGAGAAGGATCTATCAGTCGTTTTTGTCAAGGTACAAATCTATTTCAGTCTACGCAAATGCGACTGATGGATAAATGATTTCTATCTTTACAAATCAATGTGCATTAAGCTGGTACGTTGAAATTTTAAAGTTATGTGCTAAAGGTAAACCGAATCTAGGATATAGCGTGGAAGTTTGAACGTTTTACGAATTCATTACGTAAACTGATTTTGTAAAGTGAAAGCCAGTACTTTCTTGCTGGATTACATTTGTTTAGTGCTGTAGTATGTATAATGATATATTGCGAAAATTAAAAACGCATTCACGTTCTTGTATTTTTCGATGGGCTATTGTCGACCGAGACTTAACGGATATTAGGCCTGCTTTAAATCTGTCCAGATAAATGTGTCTGAGAAACACACGACGCGACAGCAAATGTATTATGTAAAGATGCAGTAAAACAAAGTAAAGCAAATTTGCAAAGAATTATGTATCACGAGACGATCAGTACTGTACATCATGCTGCCTACCCTCTTAAACAATAATGACCGTTTCATGAATGTGCTTGTATCAGTAATAAATTGGTGTACACTTCAACGGTGCATTGTCTCGTGTTATCTTGCCGAATCGGCAGGGCAAATTACGTAATATTAAATATGTTCAGGCTGCAGACAGACATCGCATTTGCAAAGTCAACCGGCTTGAAGTCACTGTTGGTCCTTAGCGGCAATACGAAACTCGATGATGTAGGCACGAATGACATTGTACCCGATTATTTCACCGATTCGGTTGCCGATTTTTGCCATTTCGCTTAGACCGAGCTTATGATTTTTCGTTACTGTTCTAAGTTTTCTGTTTCACAGAATTGGCGCAGTGAGTTGTTTCAGCACCTGGACCGTTTAGACTCGTCCTAAGTAGCAAATTTTGGCGGTGAAATGAGATAACAGCCGGCCTTTAGCAGCCTACGAATTTTGAATTGACTTTGAATTAACTTTTAGTTGTTGAATGGTTTGTTGAATTTTTATTCATTCGATTAAAGAAATACATGCATGCAGCAAAACGTAAGAATTGTAAGTAATTCGATGACCGGTAGTTAAATGGACAAAACAATTCAATCGATAACTACTTATTGCCAAGACGTTGCGCTACTACTACGCTGATCATCAGGATACGCACCGCCTTATCCCAACACGAAATGACGAATTAAGCATAAATGAGAAATTAGCTGGGTTTAAACCGTTAATTAATTGCAATTATTGGTCATCCCGGAATTTCACGTTTGTGATCGGAGCCGAACTTTCACTTTTTATGGCGACAAAATGCTGCTTACTATGCATTCTAGGTTTCTGCGCCAAAATACAAACTGATTTATTTATTTCAAGAATTAACCAAGATTAATCTGTGTCGATTACAAACACAACCCTGCCTGAAGAAGTGTCCAACGAAATGACACGCTGGGCAAACAGAGATTGTCGGCCTGCGCGAGGCAAACTGGAGACGTATTCTTTAATCACGATGCACTTTCGGATCTTCCTGATATGTACAAATGTAACTTATCGCACTTAACTCTGTAAATAGATCTGAATGCTTCTTCTAATCGTTCTTTTAAACAGAATGATTGTATTAGGGTTATGATAGATCCTAAATTGATGTTGTTCAACTACTCTTGATAGGTTTAAATATCTGCGATACGTTTGGACGAATTACCATCGGTCTACTTTGAGGCGGCTTTTTAAAGTTAAAGCATTAAAAAAGGTAAATGGTAGACATGTGCTAAAACTGTAACTAGGAACTTTGTGAAAAATCATGTCATCAACACTAATATAGAATCAACCTTTGCCAATTTGCGTCAGACCAAATTTAATTGTCCAGAAATGCGTCTTGTTTGTATATCGTATTTGCAATAACTTTAATAGATATTCTCAGACCAGACTAACTGAAGTATTTAATAAATGCTAAGTACAAGTCACCGTTGTACCCCCGAGTATGTCAAATAACGCATGACCCATCCAAGGCCAGATTTCACGGCGTATTGCACCGCTCCCTTGTTCGTAGTTGCCTAAAGGGCCATTCTATCAGGCCGCTCCACGATTTTGAGCACCTGCACTGCCAGGTGCATCTCGTATCATTTTGTTTCTTAGAGTTACACCGTGCTCATCACGAAAGTACTCTGTATGCTACTGTATATTTACTAAGCTGTTCGTAATGTAAACTGAGTATGTCGAATGACGAATGACTCCTCCAATAACATTCTTCCCAGAACAACATATGACGTTTATACCGTAGCATATGAGTACTAGCTCCTGAAATATTGTTTAAGATGAGGGCAATGAGGCTCCTGGCACTGCAGTTGTTCAAATACCTTGGAGTTGTGAAGGAGGAAAGGGATAGTGCAACACGCCCTAGTCTTGGAGGAGCCATTTGCTATTTCACTCACCAGAGAACGTAGATTTGATACGTTCCATCTGATATTATGCAATGTCAACTGATACGTCGAATCTCGTGAAACATACGTAAGTCGGTTAGGTTTATTGTTTGAACAGAACTTATACAAATTACATTTTTCAGCAATAAAAATAATTAAAAAATTGCACAATTCAACAACATCAAAGAATGAAGTGCTCAGAAAAAGGAAGAACAAGAACAGAACACAAACATCATTCAGAGCGGGATACAGCACTATTAATGAACCGAACTGATGTAGCTACTGTAACTACGGTGCATGACATTTTACGACGCAAAAAAGTAACATGAAATTAGGATTTGAGCAAGGTCGAAAAGAACTGCAATTTAGCGTAGATAAAAGAGAAATAGAATTAGAATGGAAGATTAGAAAAAGGGATGAAATTGAATGAAGAGAGCCGATGAGCTAGACCACAGTAAGGTGGCGAAGCGAACAAACTGACATCGATATAGCTTTATGTTCTTGGCGAGCATGTCAAAATCACAAGCATGAATCGATGATCGAACTACCGAGTAGGGTATCCATACTCTGTTTCTTGGCAACTGATCTCAAACCGTAATGACAAGCTGACAGGTGCACGTGAATCGGTATAATTCTGAACCACCCACGATTGATAACTAACGGATTGTTCGTGAGACTAAAACAGTGATACTTTCTAACGAGCAGACAATCACCGATCAATGTAAGTGTAAAATATCTTCAATCTTACGATGCTATATATTACTCAAGATAAAGAATGTTTATCAGGACTTGCGTATAATTTTAAAATCAACTGATCCCGCAACGTGGAGCCACTTCAAATTCTTGAGCAGTATCACATTTAATCCGACGAAAATAACTGGTACACGGAAGTTTTTACCAAACTGTGGTTTTCACATCCGGAACAGCTTTGGCTATAATGGCTAATACAACGGGGTTGAGATCTCATGAAAAAGCATTAAAACGGAACGGGCTCTAGGAATCCTTAGAACAATATTTAGTCGTTTGTTTATACTCCTGGCTTTTTGTTGCATTTAAAAATGGGCAAGGCTACAATTCATACTGAGTTGCATCTAATAAGGCGCATGATGAAAGATAAGTTCTTTTACACTATAACGGAATAAATTTTTCACTTTGTTTAATATATTTAGTATATTGATAAGCAGAGTACGAATGCATTGTCAGAGTCCGTTGGTTTTATTTTTCTTTTCGAGCCACTGTTCGTACTTAGCATAGGCTATATTGAGGCTTGTTTTCAGCGTACCTAAACACTAAAAGCCAAAATGTTAAGATGTGGATAACGAGTGATATAAAAAAATCAAATTCACGATTGTCCATATAGAAATCGACGAATAATCAGTAACGCATGATTAAGAAAAACTGAAGTACCATTGCAAGGATGGATTCATCCAGCGATAGTAAACAAATTTTAGATCTACCCATACCATTCTCCTGAATTTAACCATAAAGGAATTAATCAAATTTTTTCTTTATATTTATATGCATGTACACTTTAAGCATTTATGTTCACAAATTTGCAATTCACTTACTATGATCTACACGACTTGGTTTGCTTGCTATTTTGTGACGAGCTTTTGGCAGCCCATGCTTAATTAATTAATTAAGAGATACATTTCGTAGTGAGCTTGCCAATCGTCATTTCAAGTACGTCGAAAACGGAGTCTGTACATATGGTGCACAGATATATTTCATATATGCTCTTGTGACCTTACTTCAGCAATGGCTATGTCATGGGACGTTGGATATCTCAGCGTTACCCTTGTATGATTTTAAGTCAAAGGGAGACGGGCATGCCTACAACTCTTGATGACAGGAGAACTGCGAACAATGTTCACAGTAAACGTAAAATGA